TAGCCTTTTCTTTAGAATGATTCAGTCGAGAAGGGGCTTGACCAGGAAGATCATTCGGCGGCAGGTACTGTATCAGGCAATGGCGGGAATTCAAATTTCTCTTCAGGTGAGGTAAACGGAGTATTAACTTCAAATTTCGAATATGTCACTTTGCAAAGATATTTGCTTTAAAAATCTTGTAGATGTAAGACCATTCATCTACTTCGCCGAGCTGAGCCTGAAGATAAAGCCTTTGCTTAACCGAGGTTTGAAATTCCTCTCCAAATCATCATGCGAAGAGTATATTGGCGAACTTTCGAGCAAAAAAATCGATTGTAGATCAGATTACTTGCACGATCAATGAATTCTATAGAAACTGCCTGATTCAGTTGGTCGAGATGATACCAAAGAGACACCGGATGATTGCACCGTGAACAGGTCTGCAACTCAGTGATCGCTGCCATTCAGTTTTTTCTGCTCCTCCTCCTTCCCTTTCCTGTCAACACTTACTTGCCTTTCCTTCATTTGATTATTTTCTTAGTGCAAATACGACCAGCGCATAGCCGATAGGCTCTTCGGCTCAATCGTCTCAACAGGCCCACATTGAAGGGCTTGGCCCGAAGAAGACGAGGGGCTCAAGGGTAAAGACGGCTGAACTGATGTTTATGGTGCACGAAGCGGCTGCTGTCTGAGCAGAGATGGCGCAGTGGTATGTCGCGAAGCCTTACCCGCTGCTGCATACTGCTACGTTCCATCGCACGCGGCGTCCCTCTCGACGCGACGCGACAGTTCCGATCCTATTGCACTACACACCATTAAAAGTGTGGTACTCGACCAATTCCTGCCTTATTTCATGAGCGGACAATCCTTGACGGGGAGAAATCACCATCGGGAGCTCGATCCATTTTTGCTTCATTCTGCATTGAAAGTTCTACCTGAAGATCAAAAATGGATGAATAAAATAGGCTCTGAGACTGATTCGGTAATATTTTTGAGAACGTTTTGTCTGAATAGATGAATAGAGGAGGTGAGGGGCTGGCGATGTTACCAACCAAGGTCTGAGCTCAGCTGTTCAAGTCCTTACTTGTTTGTGAGCTTGATAACAGTAAGCTGAGGCATTTGCAGTTGCTATTAACCAGTTCTTTGGTTTAGCGTCCCTTCTACTATATAGTTGATCATCTTCTTGTCCACCTTTCATCCTCCCTTTGCTGTCTCCTCTGCATATCAGTCAGAATTAAGTCCATCTGCCAACGAGAACACTTTGTAATTTCTGATAGTCGTCCCGACTTTTTGCAACCCTACTTCTTCTGTTTGATCACCTTCGTTGATCTTGACTTTACTATGTGTTACTTGTTATAATGTGCTGTATGTGACTGATCGATCCACGCACACTCCTATGCTCCTTTTTTCTTGTTTCTCATCCTTATGTATCACAGCCTGCGCCATTCCCCTGCTCACACTTTACCTTTCTCTGTCCCCTCTCAGCCACAATTGTTTCCACGGGTCCGGGAACTTCTCCCCTAACACGGCGTCGCCCGCGCCGCACCCGCCGCCTATCGCAGGATTGCGATGAAAGATTGGAGCGCGCAATTTGTGAGGGAGGGAGTCCTTTAATTATTTGAATTGGCTGCTCCCTTCAATTTCAATGCGGTGTTGATCGTCGTTCATATAAGAGGAGTCATTTTAATTAATCAAGTCTAGTAAACATGAAAACTAAAAAGAAACAGAAGAAAAAGCGATAAAATCCAATGAAAAAGCAAGCCAGTCAAGGAAAAATATCGCGTCCTATCGATTTTCGGGGGGCGG